ACCAACCTATCAGAATATGTTTGTTTTGTGGTGAATAACAGACAATCTGGCTTCTTTCTGCAGTGACAACAGTTTGTGTTTTATTTGTAAAGCCTGCAGCTCGTGTAGAGAGAGCGCTGCTGTTATCGTCAAGCTGTTTAGAATGATTTTGTGTTCGGGATCCACCAGTAACAGGTATGCATGTTAACCTCGGCCAACCACACAGGCTGCGGGGAAAGTGCCAGTGTAATCGTCTGAGACTTCTCATCATTTACCCATTTTGGCAGCAGCTTCTTCCAGAGGGCAGCTGGGAAGTCATTAGCAAACAAGCACTTTCCCCAAATACAGAAGGAGCTTTCTAACACTGTGTGAGAAAACGCAACAGCTCAAGGTCACAGAGAGGTTCAAGGGGTACCTTTGACTAACACACTGATCAGCTTGTCCTGCATTCAAAACGTTACCATGAATAATGAAAAGGGAAATTATGGAAAATTGTTTCTGTACCTTATTTATAATTTCTGTTTGTAAAGAATGCAGAAAATCTCTCAGCACTTCTTACAAAATTACATTTTCCAAGACGTATAATAGAAACTACAACATGTTTAAGTGATAAACCTGACGACACATTTATTAGCACAGCCTTCAGTTTAATAAGAAATGGCAACTACAAACCTGAAAGGAGCTAAAAAACAACAACTAAAATGTGAACACTGATCTGTGATCCAACGGCTGCACACAAGAACTGCAGCAAACCTGATTTTCTTCATTTTGCACAATGGTGTAGCAAGGAGCTTTGGTTGAACTAAATAATGCTGTCACATTGTTACTGAAACTGCTATGTGCAGAGAACAGAAGAGGCATCAAAGATACTACAAAATCAACACAAGTGCTTCACAAAAGTTGCATCGTTACTCTTATTCATCGTATGCTGAGTAGAAACTGTGCAATAAAGATTCTCCTAACTTCAGATGCAGGTTTACATCTTGCAAACCTACTTCTTACTACACATGATAAGCATCTACCTTCACTTTGTCATGATAATTTAGCTTGTTGGTTATTGTATGTTCTTCTTCTGACTGATACATTTGTATTGTGAGATTATCTTTGATCACCTGTGACATCTTTTGAAACAATAGATTTCGTTATAGGAGACAAATATCTAGAAAATCATATTAAGTCAATTGAACTATGGAGGTTCACTGTAACAGATGGCAAAAATATTTACTGCAGGTTTAATTCAAGAGGCAACAATTTCACACAACAACAACTTGCTTGTCATTTCTGTTTTTCTAGCCTACAGCAAAGAGAGACGAAGTGCACAACATGCTGATGATTTAGCATTTAGCAAAAACTCTGCTGCAATAGTGATGTTAGATCTTTTTTTAATGTAAAACAATAATGCTGCATCCTGTTTCTGCAGCAACAAAATGGTGTCTCTTCAATGACAAGCTCTGACTGGTAACAGGACATTTATCTGGAAACATCTTTGCAACAAAAGATGTCACAAATTCATGGGAAATGGTAACTTACAAATAACCAAAGCTCTGTTATTTAGGTCACAACTTAAAAAATAAAAGTAAAAAAATAACAAGATTTTTAGATCAAACTTATTTATTAGATTTTTGAAAGAAAACTTCAATGAGATTTTTACAAGAAAACTGAAGAGAAGAGAGAAACAGGAGAGACGAGGCGTGTGAAAGGCAAATGAAACACCAGCAGAGGTAGAGGCGGGAGCAGGAGGAGCAGAGTTATTGCATTTCAGCGCAGTAAAAAATAAACCTTGTAATACAGGCAAATACTTATTAGGAGCACACAGTTTACAATGTAATCAGTATCTATGATGTTTTACTGCTGCTATTAAAAATAAATGGATAAAATGAATGGCTTCCTTGGCTGCGAAGCCAAGGTTTGTAAATTTCTGTCTCCTAATAATATCCACTGCTGAATAACTACAGACGCACTGCAGCTGAGGCAAATAATGCAGATCACTGGACTGATCACATTTTAAAACAAGTTAAAAACGATAATGATTAAATTAAAACACCAAAGTCACAAAACTACACTGTATCCGCTGTTTGCTTTAAAGCTACATAATGACTCAAAAAGATGCTTTACTTTATGATGCATGAAGCTGCATTTACAGCTTTTACCAAATGTTATTTGCTACATTTGTGTTATTCCAGGTGTGACGAAATGAAGCTGATTCACTGCTGCATGGAAACTCAATGCCATGAAAAGATAATTTGAAACACGATTTCCAGCAATATTCTCTTAAAAATAAGACAGCATGTCCAAACTTTAAATTACATGTACCTTTAACTATTAGAAGACTTTAATTTGCCTGTGTTGTTTTGAAAGGCATCAAACAGGTGAAACGTAAAAAGTTGTTTTAACTGAATAAAACTCAAAACTCAAGCTGGAAAACCAAATTTGTGGCATGTTTATTGTTGTTGAGGGCCACATAAAATCACTAATAGGGTCTTAAACGGCCCTAGAGCCAGACTTTGGACACCATCATCTTAATAGCTTCAGAACTTTGATTTATTCTACTGGCAAAATACTTTAGCACAACACATTTTTATGAGTCAAATCAGGTACATTAGACTTTATGCCATGACATGTGAAGTACATTATACTTCACTGACAATATAAATGTACAATTACGTGACAGGACTTGCAACAAAAGAGAAAAAAAATCATACATTTTACATAAACTTTATTTCAATTGTATGTAAATGTGTCTTTGTGTATTTGTGTCTTTTGAAATGTTGTGCCATATACACACTGATTGTGTTTCAAAAGTGAGTAAAACTGCTAACCATTGATGGGCCACATTTCTGTCATCCTTGTTTTCAAACAAGTGAAAGAAAAACACCATTGTTGGCGCAACCAGACAAATAATGAACTCATCACTGAAGAAGAAAAGTGCTATGAAAAAAGAAAAAAAGAAAAATAACCCAACTTTGTGTTTTGACTTTAATATGACCTTGCTATGCCATACTATGTTTGACTTTAGAAGTTGTAGAATAAACAAGGGAATGCAGCTGTAGTTGTTTAAAATGTCCACCAGAGGGAAGCAAAACATAACTTTGATTAGGAGAAAGAAATGTTTCTACTCTGATTAGTTTCTGACTGCAAACTGAAGCTCAATGTTACATTAGCCGAGTGCATCACTGTGAACAAACCCAGAGTGGAAGCAGCATGTTTACTGACTTCTTGCTGCAGTTATGCAAACGCAGTTGATCCCAGCAGCTGCAGATCAGTGATTTGTGAGATGCCTCCCCGTAAGAAACTTATTGCTTTTGTCTCAGGTGAACTGAGTCTTTATCAGAATAATTTAGCACACTGACATGTTGGTATTATCACACCTGTCAGCTGCAGTTTGGCTCATAGAAACCTTACAAAGTTTCTTTAAGCCAAAGTTATTTATGATCAGCCTCAGACAATAAATCTGAGACAGACAAAAACCAGGGTTTCCACAATGTTGTGAGATTAGATTTTATTCTATGCTATACTAGAGCATAATATAAATGTTTAGTAAAGCTTTTTCAGAGAAACTTTCAGCTTCAATTTTGAAATTGTTGACCTTTATTTTTCAAGATTTCTGCACTATAGCACCAAAAAGCAATTTCTGGTTTACATCTTGAATGCCTGGGACCAGTTCAAACTGGGAAAAGAAAAGTTGTAAGCATTTTGTTTTCTTTCCATTTGTTTGAAATAATTGGCTAAACTCTTCAGGGAAAAAGAAATCTGAGGATTTCCCTGGCCATGATTGAACATATTCATATTTTGAGCCAAGTCATCATTTTGCCTCGTGACACAGTGCTTTATGCTCCATCTGGTTCTGGAGAAAATGTTTTATCACCAAACTGCTTTTGGGCTGATGACTGACGCCACTCTGATGGTTTGATGCTGGTTGCTTTGGAGAGGCAGCCCAGCAGATGGATGCTCTCAGGATGCTTTGCTCTCAGGATGAAACTTTTCTTCTCAGTTTTACAGTTATCTCATTCTGAAGGAGCTTCTCTGAAAAACACCTTTCTCCCAGGGCCACAGTGCAACACTGACATGGAGAATGTCAGTCTGTCCTCATGTCTTTCTTGGACAGAAGTTGATCTTTTCTTGTCTTCTTACAGAAAAACTCACAACTGACCAAAAATGAATTTGTGTTCACAGTAATTGGTTGAGAAGTTGTAAATGGTTAAACTGCAACAAGACTTTCATCTGGTACAGATAATAATAGTAATAATAATGAAATACTCCTTATATATTCTCAGAATCGTGTAGAGAAGAATCCAGACTCTCCATTCAAAGGATTGTCTGCCAGCAGCTTGGTGCCAGATGGTTCCCCACACCTTCAGGGGTTTATGGAAATGATTGATTGGTCAGAGATTATTTAGCAGGAAAATAAAATAAAAACAAGAATGGGCAGGTGGTCATAATGTTATACACTGATGGATGTTCATGGGCTTTCACAAAAGCATCTGAACATGAAATTGTTTTCCTCTTTCAAAATATCATGGATGTAGCAAATTAAATGCAGAAAACAAACTATTGGTAATTTTGATTTCCGCCGCTAGGTGGCGGAAGAGTCATGATTATCCTCACATGCACGAGTTGTTGGATTTAATCATAGATTTGTAATTCAATTTGTTCAATATCATGATCTTATTAGATGTTTTTCACCACAATCAATGGTTTGTGAAGTTTGAGTTTCTGGAAATAGTGATTCAAATGTTTGCAGTAAAGGTTGTATTTACAATATCTTTCAGGCACGTGGGCCAAAATGCTCGGACATAAATGAAGAAAGTGAGGCTCATATTTCTTTTGGAGAATGGTTTCATTACTAAGGCTGAGTGGCGCTGAGCTGCAGGAGCTGCAGAGGACAGAGACTTCTTCCTGGTTTCAGAGAAGAGATGAGGAGCTCCAGAGGGATCGGGCTGCAGGAGCCTGCGCGGCTTGCAGCGGTAACTCTGTAACACCGGAGAGAGATTTGCAGTCACCAGGGCGGCGGTGGTGACAGAGTGGAGGGAGAGAGAGGAGCAGATACTTGGGAACGCATCGCAGCAGGACAGACAGACAGACTGACTGTCCACTCTGAAGGCGTTCAGCCGGCGACGGAGACGGAGCAGGAAGGTAGGACAGCCTGATAACGAGCCGGGCTTCCCGCAGAGTTGCTGGATTTAGGAAAAGTTCGGAAAAAGAGCGGAAAGCGCAGCATTTATGGTCCAGTTAAGCTTCGCGTAATTAATGACTTTTTGTGTTGCTCCATTTCTGTTTTGGTATTATGGTGTGAGTTCAGAGCTTGAGGATTATTAATACTTATTTTTTAAATATATACAGTTTTCAAGAAAAGCCTTTTTATGCGGCATAATGTAAAGAAATTAAACGTTTAGACTGAAGGAAAATAGAGTAAAATCGCTCCGGCGTCTCGTCTGTTCAGTGATCGATTTAAAACACAAATTCCTTCAAATCTATTTTAATATGGAGTGTGAAATATGAGTTTGTTTGCGTGTTTGCTCAGAGGTGTCAGGTGTGCAGCGTTATCTCAGGTAGCGGACTGGGGAGTCCAGGTGTCTGTACGGAGGGCCAAAAGAGCCAAAATACTTAATACAATATTTTATTTATGTGATTACTAAAATACAAATGTATTAAATAAATAAATGCATGTGTATATGTAATTATTAAATATGTCAATATTCATAAAAAGTTAATTTAAAAGGGGAAAAGTACAAAGCAAAATCAAATTTTATTTATTGGTGTCTAAATATGTATTTTTAAGGTTAGTCTATATTTATGCCTCTATTGTGTGTTTGAAAAAATACATAGTCATATAATTATTTATCTACAGCTATTTATTTCATCATGCCACCATGAACTGATCTAAACTCTTGGGCCCTGACTTCTGATTCACCGTCCTGAATACCAGCTTAACTGCAGACCAATCACCTTGTCCGTTGCAAAATTAGCCCCACCCACTAAATTCATAATTTGTTGTGAATAATAATCAGTGTATGGAAATTTTACATTTTGTTTGTTTCTTAAAGACTACTTCAGGGAGCAAACACAAGAAAAATTCATAAAATTGAAATATTGAAACAATATACAAAAGATCAAGAAGTCAGTGAATTTGTTGTATTTATTCTTGTTCATTTAATTGATGTTGACGATCACATGCAGCATTTATAAAAGGAATCCCAAATATCTTAGAATTGTGGCACTCCTGGGGCTCCGTACTTCTTGACAACCACTTATTTATTCATGTGTCACCTGAACTCAACTCACATCAGCTCAATGGAGAATACTGAACACCTGAACAGTTTTATTGTTTGCATGGTTTACAACAGGTTACATGTGTTTCAGTTGTAACCAAACTGTAGCGATACAACATGGACTTATTATTATTTGACTTTATTCACTGGATAATAACTTACATTTGAATAGCCTAATAGATAATATTTTACATTTTGTTGTTTTGCAACATATTTATGCTTAATCTTTATGGTTTGAGAGTTTTTATGTGTTCTGTGGGGAGAAGAAGGACATAAATTCTACTTATTTCTTATTTTTTAACGTAATGTCTGCCATCTGCATAGATTAATAGTTTCCAGTTTAGTAGTTTAAGGACATAAACCATACAATAATATTTGTAGTCAGATGTCGCCAATAAACAGCAGCACAGAATGTACCACATTCATAAACCAGCATCAACATCGCAGGGGAAGAAATTGTCACAAAACAGCATTAAAAGCAGATTTGTTCCATATTATTTATAAATAAATGCAGCAAACACGTAATGTATTGTTATTTTTGTTAATATTTACTTAAAGGTAAAATTAAAATGCTTAACTTCAGCCAGAATTATGTGTTATAAAAGTCATACATTTGCTAAAGAGTTTCTTATCTATTTAAAAATTGACAAGATTTATATTACCTTACTCTATTTTTAACATAATGAATAAATAAATGGTAGAAAATATTTTCAAAACAAACAGATTATAAAACCTTTGACTGTTTACTGAAAGTAAAATGCATCTGCATCTCAACAAGCCCTCGAGCATAATATAGAATTAAATATTACTCTTTGTCATTATGGCACTTTAAGGCCATAAAATGAAAACATTAATGAGTCTGAATTTGTCTAAGTAATAGTTGTAGCTCTTCATTTACTGCCAGCTTCTATTGTAGCATTTCAATCAGTTAAATAATTAATTTATTCAGAGAATAAATCCAAAGTCATGAATAAGATTCAAACTTTTGCTCTCCTTTGGTTTACGAATGCTAATTAATTAAAATATAACCTAAGGCAAAATTATGTTAATGCTAACCTCATATATTTAACATTGTGAAAGTAAGAAACCGACACGATAGTATCTATACTTCATAATAAAGCTACTCAAGTAAAAATAATAAGTACAATATAGTAAAATACTCCTAAAAGGACATATTTTCCAGCTCTGCTGCTTGGCGTATGAGGTAAAAACATGCTAACATGCTGAACACACCATCCCTACAGCAAAACACGGTGGTGGCAGCATCATGTTGTGGAGATTGTTTTAGCAGAACTTTGGAGCTTTCAGATGCAGCTAAATACAGCAGGGGGGAAAATCTATCAGAGGCTGAGAAAGACTTGGACTGGGGGAAGTTCATCGTTCAGGACCCTGAACGCATCACCGTCAGCGATGAGTTTGTAGGCCGGCCGTCACTTCTCCTGTTTGAACAGATTTAATTTCAAATTTGCATTTATGCTCAGTGTTGTCCGTCTTTGGCTTCGTGTGAATGTTTCACACCTGTTACCACTTTAAGATGGAAAACTTGAGAGTTTTCTAGTTTTCACACACATACAGAAAACTTTAAAATGATATGAATTCAAATAATCATCTAATCAGAATGTATTCATGATAAAATGCTTTAGGTCTTGGTTCTTTGTTTTGAAGACGTGTTTCTGGCAGTTCGTCTTCTCAGAGCCTCTGTCATTCTAAATGAATTCAGAAACAAGAAGGTTGGAGAAAACCCTCCTGAAACGCAGAGCCCATTTTCAGCAGACACCTTGACTGACAGGCTCAAATGGAGCTCAATAAGAGGGATGCAGGAATGAATTGCAGATACAGTAACTCCTCAGGACTGTCATGTGAAGTTTCACACTCGAAGCAGAGCGTCAGCACGGCTGTTATGTAAAGATGAAAAACTGTAAACTTATGGAGAAAAATGAGGATGAAGTAAATAAAGAACTGAAAGCTGATAAATATTTCAAGGAAGAATCTGTTTCTCACCAAACTGTCAGAATAGCCATAATTCAGGAAGTACGTAAGTGATTGAAAACTGATCTGTAAATCCTGTGCAACAAGTTAATTTGAATAATAAACCTTGTTATTGTTCATCCAGTTTTTTAGATGTTGTTGATTTACTTCCACTTTTTTCTGAACTTTATTTGCTATGTGAGGAAATTATGACTATTTATAGAAACAAGTTGCACTTCAGTTTATATGAAGTAGTTAAATACTTTATTAATTCACATTAAGTAGAGTTGCATTTATCAGAGAATCACACACTGTGCACATTCATCAGGATTATCAGCACTATAATACAGTTTAATGAACATACAGAATGTATTCTGTATTGGAATGCATATCACACTCGTCCATTTTATTAGGTACACCATGCCAGTATCAGGTTTAACACCTTTTATATTTTCAAATAGACTTAGTGAGGTGTGGGAAACACTCCTCTGAGATTTTGGCCCATATTGACAGGATTGTTCCTGATTTATCAGCTTCAAATTCATGATAATAAAAATCCCAGATAGAGTCTGTGGGTTGAGATCTGGTGACTCTTCAGGATCCTGAATTACAGTAAATTAATTTACAACAAACCAGTAAGAGAATATCTGAGCTTTGTGACGTGGTGCTTTGTCCTGCTGGAAGCAGCAATCAGCGGCCAGGAGGCTCAAAGCTTGTCCATTAAGACGTCCACCACAGCATTACACTGCCGTGTCCAGCAGCCTGAACCGCTGATACCAGGCTGGACGGATCCTCGCTCTTATGTTGACACCATGTTGTGAAGCTGCCATCTGAATCCTGCAGCATAGAAATTTGTCGGACGAGGGAATGCTCTGCAGCAACAGTCATCGGCCAATTTAGTTGATAGTATAGAAATTGTAACTTGATTGTGGTTCTGTGAGGAGCAGCAGTCAGATATCGGCCATCTGTTTCAAGGTCTGATGTGTTGCTCTATTTCATGAACCTTACAGGGAACTGGTGGTTATTTCAAGCTGCTGTCGCCTTTCTGCCGTCTTTACTCCAGTTTGCCCTTTGTCCTCTGAACTCTGACCTCTACAAGGCATCTTGATTCACAAGACAGTCAACCAATATATGTTTAGTCATATTTTGACTTTTCTGTGTAAACTTGAGATGAGGTGAAAGTCTCAGTGGTTGATCAGTTTTTGAAGACAATCCTCCTTCCTCCTCATTCTGATGCTCAGTTTGAACTTTGGAAAGTCGCCACACTGGATGCCTAAATGCATTCAGTTGCTGTTTATGTTTAACACCTGGAGCTTGTTGGAGCTTGAAATATCCCTGCCATATTTTCACTTCCTTCTGCTTTTATTTGCTGAAGTGGCTGAGATGACATGTTTGACAGACAATCAGAAAATATGGAGTTTTTAATGGCAATAATTCAGCACAGTTTTATTGGTCATTTTAAACTCCTTAATCTGTTTCAGTTTGTTGGAGGAAAGTTTCATCCATGTGTTCTTTTTGTCTTTTGGTATCTACATAACATTCTCTGTATCCCATGATTACGATCACTGTCTGCTTTCCACCTATCCAATTTTCCCAGCCAGGTCTCTGGCGGTCCAGCTGCGTGTGGTCATTAAATCAGCCCAGGCACTCAAGCAGAACCGCAGAAAAAAAATCCTGTAGAAAAGGGCACGGCAGTGAAGATGGTATTATTCTGCCAGTTGTTTTACAGCAGGGCGTTCAGATCCTTTCACATATAAAGCTATGTTTTTCTCTGAATTAATGATGGGATACAGATGGTTAAATATGAAGTCATTGAGACTTTGTACCTAACATTGCTTGAAATACAGCAGGTGTCTCTGAGCTAGTAGATATTTGTTCTTGCCTGGAATGGTTTCA